GTCTGTTGGGATCTGATGGGATTTGGGGCCGGGGTCTGGTGGGATCTGAGCCCAGCATCCAACGGGATCCGCTGGGATCCAACGGGAACTGGTGGGATTTGGGGCTGGGATCTCATGGGATCCGGTGGGAACCTGATGGCATCTGGTGGGATTTGGCCTGAGTAGATGATGGGATCTGGTGGGATATCATGGGATCTGGTGGGATTTGGGGCCGGGATCTGATGGGATCTGGTGGGATCTGGTGGGATTTGGAGCCGGGATTTGACGGGAACTGGTGGGATCTGGGGCTGGGATCTCATGGGATCCGGTGGGAACCTGATGGCATCTGGTGGGATTTGGCCTGAGTAGATGATGGGATCTGGTGGGATATCATGGGATCTGGTGGGATTTGGGGCCGGGATCTGGTGGGATCTGATGGGGTCTGATGGGATCGAGGGCTGGGATCTGGTGGGATCTTGTCGGAATCTGATGAGATCTGGTGGGATCTGATGGTATGTGGGGCCAGGATCTGATGGGATCTGGTGGGATCTGATGGGACATGAGGGGAATATGATGGGATCTGGGGCCGCAACTTGGTGGAATCCGATGGGATCCATTGGGATCCGGCGGGACCCGCTGGGATCTGGGGCCAGGATACGATGAGATCTGGTGGGATCCAGTGTTGGGATGTTATGGGATCCAGTAGGATCCGGCAAGATTTGCTGGGATCCGATGAGATCTGGGGGGATCTGGTGGGATTTGGGGGCTGAAATCTGATGCGATATGGTGGGAATCTGATGGGAGCTGGGACTGGGATCTGGTGGCATCTGATGGGATCCTCTGGGGACCACTGGGATCTGATGGGATCTGGGGCCAGGATCCTATGGGATCCAGTGGTCCCTGGGGCCGGGATCTTGCTGGATTGGGTGGGCTCTGGGGCTGGGAGCTGGGCTTGGGATCTGATGGGATCTGACAGGATCTGGGATCTGGAGCTGGGATCGGCCCTGGGGAGTTGGGGGTTCCTTGGGATTCCCATCCTGAGGTCATCCCAGGAGCTGAGGGATCCACCCCCGGGATGATCCCCGGGATTTGGGGGATCCCAAGGGATCCATGCCCTGGAATCCTCCCAAGGATTTGGGGGATCCGCCCCCGGGATTATTCAAAGAATTTGGGGGATTCCTTGGGATCCACCCCCACGATGATCCCAGGGATTTGGGGGATCCTTCAGGATCCACCTCAGGGATGATCCCCAGAATCTGGGGGGTCCTGAGAGGACTTTGAGGGATCCTGAAGGGTTTGGGGGGGGATCCTGGGAGGATTTGAGGGGTTCTGGGAGGATTTGGGGGATTTTGGGAGGATTTTGGGGAGTCCCGGAGGGGTTTTTGGGGAATCCCCGGTCCGGAACCCCCGCGGGGCGCGCCTTGTATGCAAATGAACCCGCGCTCAATGCAAATGAGCCCCCTCCATGCAAATATTCCCGCGCTGTATGCAAATAAACGCGGCCACGCCCCACAGCCCCGTATGCAAATAAAGCTCTCCTTCCCCTCCTCTGATTGGCCGCGCCGCCGCGCTGAGCGGGGCTTGCGATGAGCGCTTCTGATTGGCTGCACGCGGCGCTGCCGTGGCCGGTGATAGGTCCGGGCGCAGCCATATGTAAATGAAGGGGGTGAGGGAGAGGGGCGGGGCCTCCCTGCTTGAGGGGTCCCAGTTTAAAGAGGGGGGGCCCAGTTTGGGGGGGGGAAATCCCAGTTTTGGGGAGGAAAATCCCAGTTTAGGGGGGGAAATCCCAGTTTGCGGGGGTCCCAGTATAAAAAGGGGGCCCCAGTTTGAGGGGGATCCCCCAGTTCGGAGCGGGAATTCCCAGTTTGGTGGGGATCCCATCTTTGGGGCGGTCCCACTTTTGGGGAGGGGATCCCCAATTTGGGGGCTCCCAGTTTATAAAGCTATCCCCATTTTGGGGGAATCCCCAGTTTGGAGTCTCCCCACTATTGAGAGCTCCCCAATTTCCCAGCGGTGCCCCCAATTTAGGGTGGGGGGACACCCCCAAATTCGGGGTGTTCCCCTTCTCAAAACGCGTCCTGCGCCTTTAAGACGCTCCCCCCCTCACGACCAAACCTGCAGCGCCTCCTGGCGGCCCGGCGGTCTTCCCGCCTTTTCCCAAGCCCCGCCCCTCCGCTTCGGCCTCGCTCGGGCCTTTCCGCCAGGACCGGCGGAGACGCTCTCGGGAGCGGGGGGGGGGGGGGGGGGGGGGTCTCATTGGCCGGTGCGCTCGCGCCGCCCCCCTTCATTGGCCGGGGCGCTCGCGCCGCTTCCGCCGCGCCCCCCCATTGGCCGCAGCGCTCGCGCCGCCGGTGACTGACAACCGCCTCCCCCCCCCGCTTCCCCTCAGCCCTCAGACCCCCGCCGGGTGCGGGGGCGGCGGGAGGGGGACTCCGCTGCTGCCGCCGCTTCCGCCGTTTTCGGGTAAGGCCCGGTTTTAAGGCCTGCAGAAAGGTTTTTAGGCCTTAAAAAAGGGGAGGGCGGCGGCGTTGTGAGGCCCCGGAACCCTCGGGAATCCCCCCGGGGGGGTTTTGCCGGTGCCCGGCGGGCGCTGCCGGGAGTTGTAGTTCTGAGGGGGGCAGCCCCTGAGGGAGGGGAGGGGCTCTGAGGGGTTGTTTTGAGGAGGAAATGGAGATTTTTTGGGGTTTTGGGGTCCCTGAGGGGCTCTGGGGTTGTGTTTTAAAGGGGGGGGAGGTTTAGGGAACCTTTGAGTGACGGACTCGGGGGTCCCTGAGGGGTTCACGGGGTGTTGTGAGGGGAAAATTGTGATTTTGGGGGAAATTTCAGCTTCCTGAGGGGTTCGTGGGATGTTTGGAGGGGAAAACTGTGATTTAGGAGGGGTTTGGGGTTTCTGAGGGGTTCACGGGGTGTTTGGAGAGAAGAAATGGGATTTGAGGGGGGGTTTGGGGTCCCTGAGGGCTCCGGGGTTGGATTTTGGGGGGAAAAATTGGGATTTTGTGGGAATTCGGGGGCCCTGAGGGGATTTAGGGTTGGATTTTGAGGGAAGAAATTGGGGTTTTTTTGGGGATTTGGGGTTCCTGAGGGGATTTAGGGTTGGATTTTGAGGGAAGAAATTGGGGTTTTTTTGGGGATTTGGGGTTCCTGAGGGGATTTGGGGTTGGATTTTGAGGGGAAAATTGTGATTTTGGGGGAAATTTCAGCTTCCTGAGGGGTTCGTGGGATGTTTGGAGGGGAAACCTGTGATTTAGGAGGGGTTGGGGTTTCTGAGGGGTTCACGGGGTGTTTGGAGAGAAGAAATGGGATTTGAGGGGGGGTTTGGGGTCCCTGAGGGCTCCGGGGTTGGATTTTGGGGGGAAAAATTGGGATTTTGTGGGAATTCGGGGGCCCTGAGGGGATTTAGGGTTGGATTTTGAGGGAAGAAATTGGGGTTTTTTTGGGGATTTGGGGTTCCTGAGGGGATTTGGGGTTGGATTTTGAGGGGAAAATTGTGATTTTGGGGGAAATTTCAGCTTCCTGAGGGGTTCGTGGGATGTTTGGAGGGGAAACCTGTGATTTAGGAGGGGTTGGGGTTTCTGAGGGGTTCACGGGGTGTTTGGAGAGAAGAAATGGGATTTGAGGGGGGGTTTGGGGTCCCTGAGGGCTCCGGGGTTGGATTTTGGGGGGAAAAATTGGGATTTTGTGGGAATTCGGGGGCCCTGAGGGGATTTAGGGTTGGATTTTGAGGGAAGAAATTGGGGTTTTTTTGGGGATTTGGGGTTCCTGAGGGGATTTGGGGTTGGATTTTGAGGGGAAAATTGTGATTTTGGGGGAAATTTCAGCTTCCTGAGGGGTTCGTGGGATGTTTGGAGGGGAAACCTGTGATTTAGGAGGGGTTGGGGTTTCTGAGGGGTTCACGGGGTGTTTGGAGAGAAGAAATGGGATTTGAGGGGGGGTTTGGGGTCCCTGAGGGCTCCGGGGTTGGATTTTGGGGGGAAAAATTGGGATTTTGTGGGAATTCGGGGGCCCTGAGGGGATTTAGGGTTGGATTTTGAGGGAAGAAATTGGGGTTTTTTTGGGGATTTGGGGTTCCTGAGGGGATTTGGGGTTGGACTTTGAGGGAAAAAATGTGATTTTTTGGGAATTTGGGGTTCCTGAGGGGATTTAAAGTTGGATTTTGAGGGAAAAATTGTGATTTTTTTGGGAATTTGGGGTTCCTGAGGGGATTTGGGGTTGGATTTTGAGGGGAAAATTTTATTTTTTGGGAATTTGGGGTTTCTGAGGGGATTTAGGATCAGATTTTGAGGGAAATTTGAATTTTGGCTGTTTCCCTTTGCCCCCTCCTCAATTCCTTCTCTCAGCCCCTCCCCCCTCCAAAAAAGGGGGAATATTTTGATTTTTTTCTCCTGTTTTTTCCATAGTTTTTGAGTAAAATCTCCTAAAAATGCCCTGCAATGGATTTACTGATTCATCTAATTAATGGTTTTAATTAATTATATTGTTAATTAATAGTAATTTGTCCCCCCTCAGTGCTCAGCAGGGATTTGGTGCCCTCAGGCTCAGGGCTGAAACCTCTTAAAAATCACCCAAATTTCACCCCA